TGAAGTGTGAATGTGGCTATTTTCAAACCTTATAATACCACCTAGACTTAAGTCCAGCCAAAACCTGGCACCATTAAAACACACTACAACCCAACACTACAGAGACCACTTCCTGGCCTGTTACACCAATCAGCCATGTTCAGTGTCTAAGGCTAATGGCCTGAGGGCTGTGCACAGAATGAGGTGTTGAGAAAATCACCCTCACTCTGGAAAACGTTCCCCCGTGGACGTGCATTAGGCTCCACTTTCACCATTTCAGCTGTCAAAAATCCAAACTGACAGGGTAAGTGCCTGAATCTCCCCTCTCGGATAATACTGAGATAAAGCATGCACAAAGCACAGGATGACTTTGGAACAATCCAAACTGTACCATTAGTTCCTTAAGTATTTAGACAGCGACATAACTTTTGTTATTTGGACTCAGGGCTAGCACATGCAAAAGGGGGGCTATGCATAGAAATGGTTGTAAATCCTAAAAAGCAATGATTTTGTTAAACCACAAAATTATAGTGTGTCATTGTCCAGATACTTATGGACTTAACTGTGGCTATATCTTGTCTTATTTATACTTCAAATAATATTAAAGATATAAGTTGTTAAATGATGTGCACACAAATCTGTCCCAGCTGACTAAAGTGCCTGAAAATATCTTATTTTTTTTTCAGCTGAACGGATTATACTTGACATATAGGTTTGCAAACCTTCAGTGACAGCAGTTACATTATTGTGCATAGAAGACGCTAACATGTCTGCAAACACGTAATGAAAACTGAAAGAACTGCGATGCAAACCGTAAACAGAGAATGTTCACATTCGAAGAAAGGATTGACTCCGGTGCTGCAGCCAATACATTTGAAAAGGTGCAACTTTTACTTTGAAGGCAACTTCTAGTTTGTGTTGCTGTTTTCACAGCTTCGCTACAGCTCTGAGGATTGTTGATGAGTGTTTGCAGACCACTTGGCGTTTTCCATGCAAATTACCAGCAGTTGTGGCGTTCTGCTGGCAACCAAAGCAACTGCAAGGAGGTCTGTGCCAACTGGTTGGGGTTGCTGGTGGTTGCTATGGGTCACCAACCAGAGCTCTAGGCCTATGTAGAGTTTAGCGCTAGATTCCATCGTGCCTGCCATCAGCCTGCAGCAACTGGTTGGAGAATACACATTTTCCCCCTCTTAAAAGGCCGGTGTGAACGGGGTCTTATTCACTTGACCCTACAGCAACACATGTTGATGTGACATTGTGAGCAGCCATGTCTCTCCAAAACCTCAGCCTGTGGGAAAACATGCCTTTGGCTCCTTTGATCTATGACCTCATTAAACACTTTTCTGATGAGTTTGTGGGCTCAGATGCAAATTTCAAGTCTTACCTAATAGAACGTGACATTCACTTTGTAATTTAAAGTCTCCATGAGAGTCCAAAAGGAGGATAAAGCAGGGTACGGTTTGGAGCTGCCATCCTCACCACGCACAAGTGAAGTCTGATGGTGGCAGTGAGAGCGCCCAGCTTAAGGCTTCAAGCCAGCATTTCACTAACCAATGGGTGACCGCACTGTGGTTGCGTCCATTGTTTATATACATTCATCTAAAATTTAAGGAAGTGGTCACACTAAAATGAATCTAAGGCGATTTTAAATGACTTGGATGCAGTTCGTTCATCCTGCAAATGTTTTGCCTGAATATTACCCTTGTTTCTGGCGTGAGACAATATTGATGTTTTAGGCTTCATTGCTGCTGACGTTTATAAATTTTTGGTTGTCGTCGTACTTTATTTTCACCAGCTGTATTTTTGTATAGTTAATTTGTGTATTATTCTGTTTATATTTGTGCATGTGGTCTAGTTTATGCAACTTAGTTGATTGCACTGCTGTCTTTTTTGGCTAGGACTCTCATCGTCAGGATTTCCAGAGTAACTAAAGCTGAAATATAACAGTAATCTAAAATAAATAAATAAAAAGAGACATTTAAAATGTGCAGATATGTATATTTTAATGGTTATGCTAGAAAAATCAAGGGATAAAATTAAATTTTGGTGCTGGTGTAAATGCTGATTATACGTTTTAAAGTAATAAAATCAAATGTGTATATCAGTCTGACCCCCTAAAGATCGGCATGTCCTCCTCTTATTTTGATCTGTTGTCATCTATTTCCAGTCTTGTTTGCATAAATCCATTTCTGATGTAATTTTTAGCAGAGCTGGCATTTTTGCTTGCCCTTGTGCTGTTACCCTTAATGGATTTATACCATGTTTTAATTGCAATCCAATCAGGCATGGCCTGCGGTGTCAAGACTACAGGTCAGCTAATTGATAACCTTGTAAAATATTGATGAGCCATGAGAACTTGAGTTTTTCCTCAAACAGAAATGAAGAAGTAATCTTTCTAAAAAGAGTTTGTTCTTCTACAAGATGAGAAATAAATGCGCTCACTTTGACGTCATCAGACAGAATTTAATCATTACTCACTCCAGGCCTCATCACTGTGACAAAGCCGTGACAATTACAACTATTGTGCCATGGAAAGCTGAGGTTTTTCAGCTTTCTGCGGTGGCTCTTAAGTCCCATATGAAACCCATCACTCTGTGAAGTCTCTTTAAAGCCGTAAAACAACACAGAAAACCGTTAAATCTTTGCCTTATTTTCAATGCACTATTTGTGGCTTTTCCATTCCCGTAATGGGCTCGTATGCACACATGCAAACGAGAGAACGGCATGAAGAGACAGACAGGGTGGAGAGGGAAAGAGAGCGGAGACTGACTTGATCGCTCAGATAAAAGCAATGGAAAACACACATGCATGAGGTCTGAGCTTGTCTTCGAGAAGACAGTGCTGTTGGAACAACACGCAGGGTACTTCTGTCTGCTGAATCTATGAAGTGTCTCCAGCATGCAGATCGCCCCTGGTTTCATCCAACATCTGACAGCAATGACTCAAATATGACAGATTACAACCCTCATCCATCTGCTACAGTCGCCTTCGGTTTGTGCTTATTTCTCCATCCAGGAAAGAGAGCAGACTATGACAGTGCACAAATTGCTTTCAGATATGCAAGTGTGTGACCATGTATCTTGGCAAGCGGCTGTTTGTTACTTATAAAATCGTGACTCGTCTGTAAAAATAATCAACAGCAGTTCCAACGCATCATTTTTTTTTCATGGGGATTATGGCAGATATATAAGCACGCAAACGTCATATTTGTCTGAAGGAAAAGATTCAGGATTAAAGCGGTTTATCATCACTTTATCACCTATGATATGGATAAATAAGTGCTGTGGTAATATTAAATGGATGATCCGGAGGAATATCTACAGCAATCGGTTCTCTATCTTATGAGATGAGATGAGACAGAGAACTTCAGAAAGATTAAATGTCAAAGCAGGGGTTGCGTTTTCAGAGCCTGTCTTAAACTCCTGCTTTACACTGCATTGAGTGTGTGCGTGTGTGTGTGTGTCACATCCAGATGTGACAGAGAGTTGACCCTGTGACTGACAGTCAGATGAGGAGGACTTGCTTGTTCCACATGGATAAGTTCTTTCTGTCACTGACTCTCTCTCTCTCACACACACACACACACACACACACACACACACACACACACACACATACACAAAATGCTGCTGTCTACAACTTCCAGCGGCTTCTTTGTGGGTCACTGCAGATGACAGCAAACAGATTTGCTCAATTTTTGCGATTCAGTGACAACAGCGGAATCATCTTTCAGTGATTTCATCCGGTATCATGTTGCTGCTGTCGCTCTCCATTGTTGCATTAATCCTTCTAACTTTTCTCCGCCTCAACTTTCAGTGAAGTTCACTTCTTTAAAAAAAAATCACAGCAAAAGACAAAACCATAATTCACATTCACGTTCTGATACTGTGAATGTGAACAAATGCAGGTATTATCAGTTATATCCATGCAGAACTCCCATTTAATCTCTTAAACACTTACAGGTGATCACTTTACTGTAATTACACCTCTTAACTTGGCTACACTTTGAAAAATGTTCATGTTGCATGTGGTGACTTAGATTTGTCGTTGGGTTTAGGCGATATTACTGCACGACTGATCTACCTTTTACAGGCCGTGTTTTTACAGGCCGTGTTAGTGGCAGTGGTGTGTTACACCGTTAACCCGTTTAGCCCCACTGGCAACAATTGTTGCCAAAGTTTATCACTGTCATTTTCGACTCACAATAAAAAATCTCAAAGGTACTAATGCAACTTTTTCCACTTATATGCTAGTAGACAACTTAGACAAAGGTTTTGATTTTTAAAAAATCGTTTCCAAGTGCTTCCTATCGCATGACATCATCTGCTTCCCGCTCTTTCTGGCTGAAGACATGGCGGATGCAAATCATCCTGGAAAGAGGTAATTTTCATAAATTTCTTATGACTTTCCCCCCAAACATATTTATAATTATTTAATCATTCAAGTCTCTAGAGTAACCCTCCCCCAAAAAATTGTACCTAGGATAAATATTTTTTTGTTCATGGGCTTATTTCTGTGAGTGGCAACAAAAGTTGCCAGTGGGCACATAGCATGTCGCTAACTAAAAGAAAACACTGTCTGCAGGATTGCTCCTAATTTACTTATTTAAAATTGTAGAATGATGTACAATGGCTCATTTTAGTCCTTTTAGAATAATTCCTAGCTAAATAAATTCACAGGTATTCAAGGCCTCTGTGTATAGGATTTTTATACATTACCATACATCATTTTCTTGCTAGCTAAAATTCGCTTGCTAGCTAACATGTATGTTGTCCTTTCCTTAGGTACACCGTAGCAGAGATCCTGGCCATGCTGCAGGACTCTGAAACTGTGGCGGACATCACAGTTGTGCCTGAGTCAGAAATGCACGCACATGACACAGACTGTGACAGTGACCAATCTGATGATGAGGCCACTGGTGACCATAACCGCCTCCCATCAAGAATACTCAAAGGTGAAGGCTTTCTACCTAATTCGGACATGCAGCTGCCCCGATGATGATCCTGGGTGCTCATCCTGAACAGTGCCATGGTGAACAGCTGGTGCTATTACAGGTACACAAGGCTGTATGTTATTTAGTGATATCACAATCGAGTTGGTGATGTTTGACTCGAGGTCATCGCTAGTGCTCTTCGGACGACAAGAGCAACAGTGATGATATCCAGACCAACATCACAAACTCAAGTGTGATATTGCTTTTACAGAACATTCTACATATGGGGCATGACGTTGTAGAAAGGATGAAACGATGCACATTCATGCATCTATCATGCTTGTTTTGTCATTCATTTAGGTCCTGGAAAAGCGGGGAGAAGGATCTCCTCTCCTTCCAGAGGCTGGTAGCCCAGACCCTCCTCCTGCGCCATGGAACAAAGCCAAGTAGGCAGGGCAGAAGATCTTCAATGGCGGTGGCGATAACTGATGCCACCAGGTTTGATAATTTGAACCACTGGCCCTGCAACACTGGTAGCAGGTACAAGCGATGCAAGAACTGCGGCGGACGCACATCATTTGCGTGTGGAAAGTGTGATGTGCCACTACATGTGGAGTGCTTCAAGAAGTACCACACTGAGTAGAACATGCATGAAAGATGATGGAATGTATGGGAAGAAATATGTTATATATGTATATATGTTTTTAGAGGTTCTAAGAAAAAAATGTTTGTTGAGTTTTTGAGTATAAAAAAATTGAGAATAAAGAAATCAGTTCAAATTGTTTGATGTTTTGAATTTTATACAGGGGGAACCTGAGGCTCCACCTTTTTGTTATTATTTATTATGACTATATTATTATTTTGTTCTTATTATATTATTATTATTACTTCTCTATTGTTATTATTAGGTGACATTTGACCTAGTGACAAGCTGTGTGACTACTGGCAACAATTGTTGCCAGTCATAAAAATGCTATTTTCTTCAAAAAAAAGTACAAAATGGAAAAAATAAATACATAACATGATTCAGAGGGACTCAACTGATAAAATGATATGCCTTACAACTCTGAAAAAAATCTGGGCACAAACGGGTTAAGGCCTAACAGCTTTACAGCACAAGTCAGCCTAATTAAAACACACATAAAAAAAATGCCCCGGAAACACCAGTTTGGTCACAGGTATTTTCACATTCTGCTATTCTGAAGGGAGAGTGAGGAGAAGAGAAGCAAGGAGAGAAGGAGAAAGTCACAAGGAAGAATCTGGGGAGAAGGATGAGTTGTAAATGTGGCATGGAGAGACAGAGGATAGGTAACATAGTGCTTAAGATTGCTAACATACATACGGTATATATGAGTGTTTGTGTGTGCACAGAGAAAAAGTGAGAGAGAGGAAATTTAACGGCATGCTAAAATTATCAGTGGTGAAACCGTTTCCATGTGTCCTTATGTTCCCTATTAAAAGGCAGCAAAGGGGGGTTTAGAAAATAAGGCAAAGGAAGATTAAATTACACCATCTTGCTATCAAAGTGCCTGTTATTCATGATCCTTACCCTGTCAAACCTCTGTGTAGTTATGACACCTTTCTTGCTTAAAGGTCCCCAAATGGCACTGTGTTCTCACACGCTGCTCAGCTGGGATCATGTCCAGAAGCTCGTAGAACATATGGAGATGATCAGGACCAGCTTCACGGACAAATAAATCCTTCTTTAGGGCCTTAACTACACCCAAATGAGGGCTCTGGTCAGCCTGGCCACCCCAAATCATGTGCTGTCAGTATGACAGTAGCATTTTATGTGCCTTTTGTAAAGGAACTGTGCGATCACATTAACTAAGATCATCACTCAGTGTTTGCTCTCCTTGTCAATCAGATTTTTGTGTTTTTGCTTTTTAAAAATTCTCTAATTCAATTCAATTTCATGTTATTTATATAGCTCCAAATCACCCCAAGGTGCTTTATATGGTATATGATGAGGTATTTGCTGTAGATTTTACATGTTAGAGTAATCGATGTGATGTTTGCATGGGTTCTTTGTGGCTCTGTTGCAGAGCAAAAAGGGGAACACTATACAGGATGTCATGCTGAAGTGAATAAATGGTGTTTAGATGACTGTCAAGATGATGAAACGCTCCTCTGGGACCTCACTAGCCCTTTTGATCTAGAGCAGCACAAGAGAGGGAGCATTGTCTAAAGCTGATCCGAATATATCAACCAGCCAATGCATTGCTGTCTCTTCTATTGACGGAGGAAATCAGCACATCTGCACAGGTGATAAGATGTCAGCAAAAACATCAGTGCTGCTCAGCTGACCCTTTACCCTTACAGCATATACAATCCTGCATTGGCCCGCATGACATCCAAATATGCAATCGTGTTCAAACTTTTTCCAAATAAACCCGTCAGATTCACTTATAAAGAGCACATCGGTTTTTACAGCAGACACCCTGTGTCGTTTTAAAGTTTTGGACTGCCTACGATGGTCCACGATTTACAGTTTTTACATTTTATGATTTGCGGTCAAACCTGGGCTAAAAGCCAGCCACATTCTGTATGAGTGGATTCGTGCGTTCATCCTTACCTGTACCACTCCAGCCCTTTATCGTAAAACCTGTCGAAGAAGTGCGGCTCCGCGCCGAACGCTCTCACGTCCGGGTGGATGCGGAGAAACTCCAGCAGGGCGCGTGTCCCTCCCTTCTTCACGCCGATTATAATCGCCTGCGGAAACCTTTTGGTCCCGAAAGTGTTGGACACGGGGATGCCGTTGCTCTGGACAGTCTCCTTTTCGCTGTCCAGCGTATTCTGTAACGGCTCAGCCGGAGCGTCCTCGGAGCCTGTGCGGTTCCGCTGAAACGGCGCATCGGGGAAGAGACGCCGGGGTGGCCGCAGATCGTCCAAAATGTCATAGTCCAAGTCTGAAGTTTCTTGTCTGTATGCAGCTCTTGGAGCCGAATCACAAAATCCGGTGAGGCAGTAGAAGAAGTAGGTGAAGATTAGGACCATGGTGAAAAAGACCGAGACTTTGGACAGCGCCTTCCCAAAGTTGACCCTGAATCTGCATCCACTACATCCCATGAGTTGATCTCCTGCTCGATGCCAAAGGGCCAAAGCGGTGACAGCATGCTTCTTTTTGTTCCCTACATGGATCAGAGTTCGAGCTTAAATGTTCTTTGGAGAACCTGTTGCGCAAAGCTGATCCATCACACGGGGAGCTTCTCTCAGCAGTGGAGTGGCACAGTGGACTTGTCAGAAGTTACATTCATAATTCAGAAAAGAGCTACTAAAGATGTCCTCTGATCATTTTGAATCGTTTGTCCTTTAAAACTCAGTTAGCTGAGACTTTCCAGCTTGTTGTGTCTGTGCGCTCTAGGGTCCTGGAAGCTCTCATTCAAGGTTTCTTTGCTTCTTCTACACCCCCTACACCCCTCCCTTTTTCCTTTTACATGTCCCCACCCTTTTCCTGCTGTGACATCTTACAGATAGATCGTTCCAGCACAGATAGGATGAAGGGTTTTTTATCCTGTATAATTAAAAATTTATGAGGCATAACATTCTTAATAAATCATTACAGTATGTATCATCATAAGAAAACAACTGTAGCGTATTAAAGCACCATTAGGAAAATGATTTTTTTAATAAGTTAATAAAGAATTTAGTCATTTTATGTCAAGTCAAGTGTAAGGCACATGATTTAGCTTCTTTAGCTCAGCAATGTGGGAAAAAATGATGAGCACTTTATTCTAAAGAGCCCACGTCAGTGTTTTACAAATGTAAGATGACTCCCCACCAAAGAAAATCTTCCTCGCCCCTTTGAACTCATGATAGACATCCCAGTCAGCTTTGTGAATAACACGAGCCCCGAGGACGTCTATCTAAAACCTCTTGTACTCTTCTTGCACTCTGAAGCTCAACACATGGTCTCTTGGCACAAACCTCCCCCCCAAAAATAATAGGCCTAACATAAGGAGGGGATACCTGCAACCCATATCTCTCTTGTACCCTCTTCCCATAAATACAGTATCTGAGACTGAGTGTGTCATCTTTGGGGGTGAGCAGGAAGGATTGGCTCTGGGACATTCCCCTGACTCCGAGCTGGAGCAGATATAGAGTTTCTTCAGGCAACGAGATGAATTCAGACTTTGAACCTGATTAACACACCGGCTGTTTGAACGGATGAGAGGATGGGGGGGTTAAAGGGTAGATAATCTGTCTGTGACACGCTCAGCCCTGGAGCAGACAGATATAGTAAATCCACTTGGCACTGCACCGACTAATTGAGAATTTTATGCTTTTTATTATCATTCACCTTTGTTCATTAACATCCTCAGAGAAAACAGAGTTCGGCATTTTTGAAAATGCGCTCTTTTGATTTCTGTACGAGTGAAACATCTTGCCAGTTGTGTTTAAAGGTAACAGAAGGAGCTGGCTTATTAACATATTGTATTTGGTGTGTATAGAAAATCAAAAATGGCAAGAGAGTGTCAGCGGTTGTAGGGTGTGAAGTGCGAGGCTAAAAACAGCAGACGCTCTATGTTTCGCTCCAAAGTGCAAAAAAAATGTGTTTTTACACTTTTTACTTCTACAGTTTCTGTGCAAACTACAGAAGTGACACATAACGTGATCTCTGTAGATCCTGGGTGAATTTTGTGACTTTTCAGATTTCCCTCCCATTTTCAGTCTTTGCGCCAAGTTAGCTGATTGCTATTAGTATTCTTAGCATCCTGATAGGAGAGTGGTATCAATCTTTTCATCTAAGTCTTGACAGTCTCTTAATAGCTCTGTCCCGCAGTGTCTAACTTTTCCTTTAAGGAAAAGCTTTCAAAGTTAAGAATTGCAGAGCCCGTGATTGCAGTTTCCGCCGTCTGCTGAAACAAAGGTCTCTGTGGATTCGTACATGACCCAGGCAAATATAGAATAATGATATGTTTTGACACACAAACAGCCATTGTAAATCCACTGCAAAAGAGGCCAGCTTGGCATCGAGGAATTCACAGCTTTTGGAAATGACCGTCCGCTGGCTGTAGTGCCACATTCAGTCAGAGTGAGGTCAGGATCCGGGCTTTGCTTTCATCAGACGTTTTATTTGCTTTTCCCTCATGCTAATTGCCCTAGCTGGAGTTATGCTGGCAGGTTTGGAAGCAGAAATATAAACAGTGAGATTAAAGAAACAAACAGGCAGCAGCAGTGTTGAAGAAACAAATGTGATATACAAGTCGTGAGCTGCATCTGTGTATATAGGATTGAGGTCGGATAATACAGTATATCAATCTGTGGGTGTGTTTGCCTGTATGCTCCTCTCTATCTCTGTGTGCTCACGTTTTTATGTATGCATGTGTGCAGTCCAGACTATATTTCCCACCGCTGTGCCTGCAGGTGCGTGCTGGCGCCGCATCCCTGTGTGCACCACAGATAGAGATTTCCATAGCCGGAAGCCTGCCGATGGCGCGTACATGTGTCAGCCATTACAGCAAATTACAAATCCTGCACAGCAAAAAGCTGAATGTTCCACTCTCGTTGTGTAATTTCCAGTGTGAGGAAGAAGCTGTCGCCCATTTGCAAAACCCAGCAGAACTCTTAAAGCAGGGGTGTCAAACATTAGGCCCTGAGGCCAGAGTGGCCTGCCAAAGACTCCAATCCTGCCCAATGGATGGCTTTGGAAATGTGAAGAAGGGCATACATTTGAGATTTTTAACTTTATTTTCACAAGTTTGTCAGCTTTTCGCATTGATAAAGACTTCCTCCATGTTCATTCATACTACACCAAAGTAAATAATTAAAAGATTAACCGTTAAATGAAAGAAAGTTCCAGTTTTTTCACTATGTACTATAGAAATGTATGATATTTACAGTGGGTTCACCATAAATCGCCCCCTTCCAAAACAAAAGACAAAAAGTTTGTGCAATAAGCTAAGTGAACTGTTTCTGTAATTTCCCATGTTTCTTTTTACATTTTAGGCCCAAAGCAGCATTTCTTTATCATGAAGAAAATTGAGGTGTTTTGTTAAAATTGCGCTTTTTTATGTTAAAATATCCCAGGGATTAAATGTGTGATTAAATTTTACAGTATCAAAAAGAAGAGTTTGACTGGTCACTTAAGATCAAAGTGGGCTGCATGTGGCCCACAATATAAAATGAGTTTGGAGTCCCCGCCTTAAAACCATCATGACAGATGTTTGAAACCAGGAGATACTCATCAAGCAGTGCAGAGGCAAGGCTGTATTTTCCTTTAAATGGAGCCTGAACCGTGTGTGTGTGTGTGTGGAATGAATATCAGCAAGACATTTCGTAGTAGTTAACTGCAAAGTAGTATATACGGACAAAAGAGCGTCCCCCTCTGATTCTGATGAATGTTCTTGTCAGGTTCTCATGTTTACTTGTCATGTTCTCATGTTGTTGCTAAGGATTGTCTTATTGCACTGGAGTCACACTGGGTTAAATATTTACACTTGGGTTTTAAGGGGTATTTATTATTTTCTTCATTATTTTATTTACGGGTTGTACGGAAGCCCCAAATGCAATTTCATTGTTCTCTGACAATGACAATAAATAAATAAATACAAAAATACAAAAAAAAAAAATACAATACAATGTTCGCTTTTCGCCTAGATTTCTTGTCAAAAAGAAAGTTTTATGCTCGTAATGTGCACGTTGTGCCTGAATCTCTCTTTGAAGCAACAACAGATGCCATGCACACTATTTCCTACATGCAATATGCTCAGTGGTGGATCCCTCAGGCAGTGAGGATGAATTCAAAGGCCCACAACAAAGCAGCTGCGAGGCCCCACCTTCCTAACTTTTATCTGCAAATGTAAGCAACCTCAGTGAGAATGACTGATGGACAGCGTGAAGGAGGAGATGGAGGACTGAACAAAATCACTCTGATCTCTCCAGCCGCGCACTTTTTTCTGCCCCCACAGCTTCCTCTTCTCCTCCTACCCACCATCCCTCGTGTCCCGCCACCTTCACGCAGGTGTATCAAACTTTTCTTCTTTGTTTTGCCTCCAGCGGGACCTTCGGAGTCCCAGACTTGCTCTGCAACTTTATAGAGACATCACTAAATGGATCAATGTAGTAAAGATCTGAGAGGAGAGATGTTCGGAGATTATGCAAGACTTTGAACGGCCTTGGAAGCATTAGACAGTGCTAGGCTCACATCATTCCTCAAGTTCAACATGGGAATAATTTATAGCTGAGGGAGAGTTCGCTGGCGTTCATTCTGACTTCACTGGAGTTAAATCTGGGCAATACCCCAAAACCAGGAGCTTCAATTACGTAGCAGTTATGCACGTATAAGCCTATGGATATGTTTTGCATAAACAAAAATGCACAAAAGCCTTCCCCGACTGGAAACCAGCTGCACATAACAATTTTCTATACATCTTTCATCTTGACAATTTAATCTAAAATGCCTTTCGAGGAAGCATGTCCCTACAGGAGCCTCGTGTTTTCTTCTTCTTCTTTTTTTTAACTCTTATTTACTTTCTGTGCTTTATTGTAGCACCAGAATCAGGGGAGCAGGAATCTAAAGAGAACGGAGGGAATTAAACTGAATGACAATCATGTCATCACATAAGCCGCAGACCGTTTGGGAAATGCCTTCTTTTCTAATCCGCAGCTCTGTGGTGAAAAATGGGATCTGGTGGTTGGCTCTTAAGTGATATTGGGTGTGTGAGGAAGGGCGGAGGAGCAGGGAGACGGGGATGTGAAGGGTGCCTATATGTGTTTTTGCCTGTGTGACAGGAGCTGTGTGTGTGTGTGAGAGAGAGAAAGTTTAAAAAGAGATGTTAAAAAAGAGACGGAGTATAGAGTTTCATGCCTTCGAGCTCAGTTTGGGGGATTCAGTAAGTCATGTGGCTCCAAATCTGACAGAGCTGCAAAGGTGAAGCAGTGCACTGGCATGCACGAAGACTTTTATAACTTCACGCTTTTATACTACATATAACCACGCGCCTGTGGAGCCCTATTGTTCCCTGTCTGCACGCTCATGTACAGCTTGCGGTACCCGGTCTCAGACTGTTAGTGAAATGCTTGTGGGCTGCTCTGTGTGGCTTCCTTTCACTGAAAGGCCCAGTCCTCCTAAATGTTGATTGCCGTGACGTCAGCTCTAAACCTCAGCCCTGCCTTTTATGTGTCACTGTCACCATCTATTTCCGCCCACTGCGTGAAAAACAACTTTCTTTCCATCAGTGCAGTTCACTGACACGGACACTTGGGTTGAACACTGTGCTACTGTTACCGGGCCAGAACCGCCACCCAAATGGAGGCGCTCGTCCATTTTCACAATCGCTCGGCTGGTCCAAAACAATTAAAAGGGTGGGGAAAAAGATGCGAATTGATCAACTGAAGCGAATGCCCC